ATGCTGTCACACAGACAAAACCTCCTGGCAATTAGGAACGGGGAGAGCAAGGGTGGAATTAAAAATGCTCATCTTTTATTAATCGCATACATTTTTCATAAGGAGACTATTTTTACTAGCTCGGGCACACACACACACACACACACACACACAAACACCACCACCACCACCACCACCACCACTGCTACCACACAATCTCCTCTTTTGCGGCGTTCGGCTCCCTGATGCCACACCGATCGTTATGAGCTGCAGGACAGGATGGAAAACCAAGCAGGGTGTTGGGCTGAGGCTTAGGGAGAAAGGGCTTAAGCGGAATGTCTGAGAACAACATGCAGCAAAGTCAGGAAGAGTTGGCAGGCTGAGAACCCTGCTCAGAGGAGATGAGCACTGGGGAAACCAGTCAAAACAGAGATGCCTTGCCTAGCCAGTTTGGCTCCGTGGATAGAGCGTCAGCCTGCGGACTGAAGGGCCCCAGGTTCTATTCTGGCCAAGGGCACATGCCTGGGTTGCAGGCTCGATCCCCAGAGGGGGGCGTGCAGGGGGAGGCCGATCAATGAATCTCTCTCCCTCTCCCTTCCTCTCTGAAATCAATAAAAATATATTTAAATTAAAGAAAAAAACAGGCATGTCTTCAGGAGGCCCTTCCTGGCGCCTTCTGGGGCTGCCCGGGCGCCCGTGTGGATGTCCAGGGGCACAGAACGGGCGTCTGGCCTTAAGGCTGCTCTCCCGGTCTTGTCGTGAGCTTGTGTCACTTCCATTCAGTCCTTCGTTCTACAAATATTTCTTATTTTTTTATTTTTATTTTTTATATATATTTTATTGATTTTTTACAGAGAGGAAGGGAGAGAGAGAGAGAGTTAGAAACATCGATGAGAGAGAAACATCGAATATTTTATTGATTTTTTACAGAGAGGAGGGGAGAGGGATAGAGAGTTAGAAACATTGAGGAGAGAGAAACATCGATCAGCTGCCTCCTGCACATCTCCTACTGGGGATGTGCCCGCAACCCAGGTACATGCCCTTGACCGGAATCGACCCTGGGACCTTCCAGTCCGCAGGCCGACGCTCTATCCGCTGAGCCAAACCGGTTTCGGCTACAAATATTTCTTGAGCACCTACTATGTGCTAGACCTGCTGCTGGGCCCTGAGGGTGTAGGAGTGAACCAGTCAAGCAAGGTCAATTCTCTTAGAAAATGTACATTTTTTGGGGGGGGCGGATTGTGGAACTTCCAAACGACAGGGCCTGATGTGGGTCTTTCTTAGTCACTTGTTCATTTGACGTGAAGCTGTAGAGTATCAGGCACTGTTTAGGGACTCATCAGGGAACAGGAACAACGAAGTCACCATCCTCAAGCAATTACCCATGACTTTTTTTTTTTTAATTTCAGAGAGGAAGGGAGAGGGAGAGAGATAGAAACATCAATGATGAGAGAGAATCATTGATTGGCTGCCTCCTACACGCCCCCGCCCCCTCGGGGATTGAGCCCACAACCTGGGCACGTGCCCTGACTGGGAATTGAACCCTGAGCTCCTGGTTCATAGGTCAACACACAACCACTGAGCCACGCTGGCTGGGCAGTTATCCATGACATTTGAAAAAATATATTTTTTTAATTGATTTCAGAGAAGGAAGGAGAGGGAGAGAGAGATAGAAACATCAATGATGAGAGAGAATCTTTGATTGGCTGCCTCCTGCATGCCCCACTGTGGGGATTGAGCCTGAAACTCAGGCATGTTTCCTGACGGGAATTGAACTGTGGTTCATAGGTCAACCCTCAACCACTGAGCCACACTGGCTGGGTTTATCCATGACTTTCATGGGCCTTTAGCAATTTTGCCTTCATGAGTCCCTACCTCCTAAAAAAAAAAAATGTTTAAAAATCTGCATTTTATGACTGTGTTGATACCATGATGAATATTATCCAGGTTGATTCTACTTTTTTCCCCTTCTGATGTTATTTTATTTTTAAATATATTTTATTGATTTTTTACAGAGAGGAAGGGAGAGGGATAGAGAGTTAGAAACATGGATGAGAGAGAAACATCGATCAGCTGCCTCCTGCACACCTCCAACTGGGGATGTGCCCGCAACCCAGGTATATGCCCTTGACCGGAATCGAACCTGGGACCCTTCAGTCCACAGACTGACGCTCTATCCACTGAGCCAAAGTGGTCAGGGCTCCCCTTCTGATTTTAAAAGAAGTTAAAACATTTCCCCTAAAAGTGTCAGGGGCTCTCGACACTGTACCCGGTTAACTGGGATCATCGATGGTGCCCTCAAGGAACTGACATTCTAGGCTGGGAGACAGACAGTAAGCAAGCAGATGAGACCATTTCGGATGGAGAAAAGCGCCAGGAAGAAAGCAGGACAGGGGGACATGCGGTGGACTTAAATATGGAGGGGACAGTGGAGTGAAGAGCGTGAAGGTGGGAAGCACCTGTGGGGGTCAGGAGGGGGTCATTGCAGAGGAAAGACCCAGGACCTGCAGGTCTAATGCAGAGCTGGGCCTCGGGGCCCTGGGGGAGCAGGGAGGGGGGACGTGGTGGGGCCTGAGTAAGCAAGGAGGAGATGCAGGTGGGACAAGATCACACAGGGCATCTGAGTCTGGGTCTCCTATAGTTGGAGTCTGACATGGGGATTCTTTTTTTTAATATGTTATATTGATATTTTACAGAGAGGAAGGGAGAGGGATAGAGACTTAGAAACATCGATGAGAGAGAACCACCGATCAGCTGCCTCTTGCACACCCCCTACTGGGGAAGTGCCCACAACCAAGGTACATGCCCTTTACTGGAATCGAAGCAGAATGGGCTGCAAAGGACAGCAGACCTGGTCCCCACTGGAGTGAGCCTCAGCCTGACAACCCCACCACCACACACACACACACACAGCTCTGGAGTGTGACTTGCTGGGGCGTTGATCCTGCCTTGGACCTCCGTGTCAGTCAGTCGCTGGCTGCACGTGGCTCCCAGAAGTGGGGGCACGAAACCACTTGGGCAGGTCACCCCCTTTGGGGGAGGCTGATTCTCCAGAGCAAAAAGTGATACACAGCAGCTGGGGTTGGGCACGGCATTCCGGCCCAGGGGATCTGGGTCGGCTGGGCATTCAGACCCCTTCCTAGCTAAGGTGGGCTGTGACTGTAGGATTTTAAGCAGGGCAATAGCATGACCTGAATTACTTTTTTAAATATATTTTTTAATTGATTTCAGAGAGGAAGAGAGAGAGAGAGAGAAATATCGATGAGAGGGGATCATTGATCGGCTGCCTCCTGCACGCCCCACGCTGGGGATCGCGTCGGCACAGCCTGGGCCTGGGCCCCGTCTGGGAATCAAACCGTCACCACTTGGTTCATAGGTCGATGCTCAACCGCTGAATCAGCTGGGCCTGAATTACTTTTTGAAAAGATCTCTCTGCCCTAGTTGGTTTGGCTCAGTGGATAGAGCGTCGGCCTGCAGACCGAAGGGTCCCGGGTTCGATTCCGGTCAAGGGCAGGTACCCTGGTTGCAGGCTCCTCCCAGGCCCGGGCCCTGGTCGGGGCACATGCAGGAGGCAACCAATCTATGTGTTTCTCTCACATCCATGTTTCTCTCTTGTCTTTCCCTCTCTCTTCCACTCTCCCTAAAAATCAATGGAAAAATATCCTCGGGTGAGGATTAATTACAAAAACAAAAAGATCCCCCTGGGCCTTGTGTGGAAAGCAGACCAGAGGCGGTGGGGGGACAAGGGGGGCAGAAGGGGGACAAGGGAAGACGCTACTGCTGTCATCGGGCTGCTGGTGACTTGGGTCTGGGC